TTAAAAGGAGAGAGGTAATGAAATGAAATAGCTTGATTTATTATTCCTATTAAAAGAAAGATTTGTAGAAGGACATACCTGTTTCATTTCCTGTTCCACGATCATTGTGGATCTGCTGTAAGCCAGGAATTGGCCGTGTTGTCAGATACCAAACTGCATGTAGGACATCTGTGGCATGTATACGATTGTGATCTGAAGTCACCAAAATGTTTTATAAAAGTGAACATTCTGTTATGTTTCACATAGGACATTTTAAAAACTACAATAATTTTCTAGTCATTCTCCTATATAAAATGTATGGCTTAGAATAATTTTCCATAATTATTGTTTCGTCTTATTTTTTAAAGCCTCTTGATGTGTTCTTTTAAAAACTTATACTATGAAAACATAGTAAAGGGGTCAAAGGAAAGGCAGGGTAACAAGGGCTGATTGGAAGGCACTAGAAAATTTACTTAAGGTTGCAATTCTAAAAAACATTTTGTAAACAGTCTGGGTTATGGAGACTCAAGTTTGTAGACAAAACAGGTTTTGTACACAGGCATATAGCACAGTTACAAATTCTAGACATTTGAACTTCCCTGTACCTCCTACCAAAAAATAAAAGAAAAAAAAAGATGAGAAATACTTTTTTCTCAGGTCTGCTATAAAAATTAAATATTGAATAGTATGTGAACATATACATATCCATAGTGCATGATCAATGAAGCACTGGTTTGCTGAAATACCACTATGTCAAAAAAGGCAAGACCTATAAGTGAAACCCAACTTTGCTATTTCTAGTTAAACGATCTTGGGGAAGATCCTTCTGAATTTTTACTTCTCACCTGTGAATGGTAGACAATACAGCCTTCCAAAAAAGATTAAAGGAAATAACCTTTGTGAATCTAATGATTATAGTTAGAGCTGATACTCAATAAAAGTTAAACATTTAAATATTTAATGAGTACCTATCATGTAGAATTAGAAGATACAATACTAAGTGTTAAGGCTACAGCTATGACATCATATCAATCCACTAAAAGCTTAATTATTATTAATACAATCACCACCTTTTATTGACCATTTACCATGTCTCACGAATTCTGATATGTGCTTTACATGAATTACATCACTATCTATAGGTAAGTACTATTGTTATTCTCACTTACAAACTTGTAAACTAAAGTTAAGAAAAGTTAGATCTAGCAACTTAACCAATATATCCTAGTTGGAGGTGACAATAAATACTCCTTACCAACGCTTTCTACCCATTCTCCTTCCCTTGAAGTTCATCTTAAAGTAGCACTTTATACCATCTATCAAATTTAGTCACTTTCTAAAATGCATACTTTATTAGTGGAAATTATAGTACATATAACTCACGTTAAATTACTAAGTATCATTATTAATGACATGCCAATTAATAATTTAATAATTTGCTCTCGATATAATTGATTTTCCCCAAATATGTCCATACTAAGGGAAACTGTAGAATGTATTGACACATAAAGAAAACTATATCTTTTCCTAAGATGAAATTCAAATGATATTTTACCATAAAATTAAAAGCCATTAAAAATTATTCAACAAAACAGGATACCATTAAAAATTGAAATGCTATGGTAAAATTTTAAACACTGTAAAGTCAAGAATTTTCTGAAGCTCTCGACTTAATATTACTAAATATTTTTAAAGATAAGGCACTCAGATAAATATTAACATAGAAAGATATATGTCATGTAGTAAGTGAAAAAGCAAATTATAAATAGGTATGATTTACTTTATAAAAAATATGTATAAGAAAAGTCTAGAAGAATATATACCAAAATGTTAACAGTAGTCAGTAGTAGGACACAGATTTTAAATCTTTATTTAAAACTTGTTCAAACATGTAATCTAAAAGTGTTCAGGGGACTATCTGAAGGGAAAAATAATAAAGAGTTTCAAAACCAGTATTATTTGAACTTAAATAATAAGATATATTAATACTTACAAGGAATGTCTCGATAGCCATTTTCTAATGCACGAAAATAGTTCATGAATTGTAGAGTGGGAATTTTAAATATTTCCAATAAACCAGTGTCTTGAAATAACGTATACATAACCTAAATGTCAATTAAAATAAAGTTCACTTTAAAAATCAGAATTTCTGTTTGTAGTTGAGTATATCATGTTTTTTATGATTTGTATTTAGGAGTGTTAACCATGTATATATCTTTAAGTTAATTTACTAAAAATTTTTCTACAATGAATTTTTCCAAAACATGAAAAAGGAAGGCATTACCTTAAAGCCCTTGAAAACCAAAGTTATCATGTCCCAGTTTTTAAATTTTTCCATTCTTTAAAGAGCTTTTTATTCATAATTTATTGAAGGGCATATAATTTCTATTCTAGACCTCCCTAGGTGTTAAAAAAAAGTCAGAACAATTTATTTACAGTTTTGCACTAAAGATTTCAATGAAATGAACTGATATAACCTCCACATAATTTATCCTTAAGTTCTTATATTTCCTAAAAAAGATACTTTGAAGTTAATGAGAGTGATATTTTGGGAAAGTTAATCTGATGCTGTTGTGTGAACCCATCACGGAGAACCTTGAGTCAGGGTGCTAAAATGGAAGTATTTTTCCAAGGTTGTAGCAAGAAATGAACCATTTGGTCTTGAGTAAAGTACAGGGAGGGCAGGTGAAGAAAATGAAGCATAAGTTTCAGCAAAAGTGATTAGAACTAGATCACTTTTCATGTCCTTTTCAACCTCACAATTCAATATAAAGCAAAATTTTATTCCTTAGTAAAATTTAATCTCATTATTAATGGGCAAATAAATGGCTTTTCATTTATGTATTACACATATAATTACATGAAATACATTATATATGTTTACATATGGGTTTTTATGTTTCTTTTTTCAAATTTTCTACTTACAATCTCATTCGTGAAAAAATAATTCAAAGAAAAATGTTGAATTTATGCCTAAACCAATATTATACATTTTTAGATTTTGCTTTTTATAAAGATTCAAAAATATTCATTTATAATTTTAAAAAGTAGTGGAGATCCGAAACAAACCTGACTAAGGATCCTTCCTGATTTCTCTCCCATGTTTTCTACAAGTTCAAAAATTTGAAAATTCCAGTTGCTCATCTTTTCTATTAATGAGTCATAATCCTCTATTAAAATCAGGTCCAGTGATGCTTCTTGTTCAATCTGTACACACAGAGGAAAAAAAACCCAGACCAACTTAACCTTTCCTTTTATAAATATTTTTAAGTCCATATCTAAATGAGAACACTTAAAATCAAACATTAAAAAGTGGTCATTCTATTTTCTACAACTTTTCTCAAACATAACTTGTACTTCCTATTTCTTCTCTTTGTAGAATACTATCTTCATACATATGTAAATATGTCTTCCAGGCATCAGAAGACTTCTTAACCTTGACATTACTTTTATAAATAAAAATATATTTTCAAAACACTATACAAATCTAAAATCTATTTTCATTTTTGAAGTTACAGATATCAAGGATAAATAGAAAGACACTCGTATCCTTATATTGGCATTTATTGCCATCTTAACTTCCCAAGAGAAATGGATGGGTTTTTTCCTTTACGAACAGGAAAAATTGCTATTTTAAGAAAGTAGATTTTCATTGTCTTTTAATGACTATGCACATGTTCCTCAGACTTTACACATATACAGTGAAGAAAATATCAGCATAGAAAATAATATATTACTATAAAACTAAGCGTTGCACTTTGTTGTTCTAGGATGAGTTTAGCAGTAATTATTTTTTTTATCTAAGGTTTTCTTTAATGTGGTTTAGTGATTTTCTCAGTAAAAAAAAAATTAAAAAATATCATTTTATATTAAACACCTTGTTCTGGACAAAAATAATGAAATTAAGCACTAACATTATCTTTCACCTTAACATAATCATATTGAAAGTTTATCTTTTACATTTGGTTGCTGTTCATTCTGTGCCTCTTCTGGTAGGTGATTATCACCTTCCAAAAATAAGTTTCTGCAACCTCTGTTCTCTGTTTCCACTTCTTGTTGAGGTTCTGTAAGGTTGAGTGATTCTTTTGAGAAAATGGTGTTATCTTCACCACCTTTCAAAAAATATATACAGTAATAAATAAGAATAAAACTTTATATGGATAGGTTTATAAGAAATTATTTGCAAAATAATTCAGATAAAGTGAACCATACAATATAAATTAATGACACTAATTAATTAATTAATTACACCATTAAGTTGTATCTTGCTAGACTGTTTGGCCCAGGTACCTTGTGCTCTGTCAATATAGACATTTAACCTGATATATCTACTCATGGGTGAAAGATATGGGCGGATATCATTTATAAAAGTGAGAAACAGAAAAGTCCCTATTGATGGGAACTTTTTACCAATTTGATATAAACAATTTCCAACATCTGAAATTGTTTGAGTTTTGGATATGAAAACTCTAAATTCATAATTATGAATGAGATTAAGGCACATCTAAAAATTAAAACACAGTATCGTGAACTATGACTTATTTCTCTACCAATGTGATATTAATAATAATCTTTTCCCCAAATAACATGGAAAAAGAAAGCAGCATTGGTAGCTAAACAGTATTCACCCATATGTAAAAAAGAAAATTCATTCTACTTGTAATACCCTGTACAGGAAACTTTCCCAAAACCCATCAACAGTAGAATAAACTAGTGTACTCATACAATTGAACACTACAGAGCAAAGAGAAAGAACTACAATCACGTGCAACAATATGTATGATTCTTAAAAATACAATGTTGGGTAAGGAAGCCAGACACAAGGTACATACTCTGTGATTCCTATTACAAAAGGTTTAAAAACATCAAAGCTGATACATATGATGAGTATTGAAAGACAGGATGAACATTATCTTTGGAGGATGAACCTGGAAAGGGGCTTGAGGGGGAATTCTGAGGTGATGGTAATGTTTTGTTTATTGATCTGTGTGCTAATTGCACAGGTATAAGTGTGTACTCATTGGAGTTGAAGAACTAGGTTTAAATTCTGATTTTTGTATTTAATAACGGCAAGCTTTTGCCCCTGTAAAATGTGGATAATAACACCTACCTTAGTAGATGTTACACATAATAGGTGCTCAATAAATGTTAGTCAAATCTGAACCTGATGCACTGAATATACTAAAAAGTAATAAATTAATGTTCAGAAGGTATTATCCTCTGGAAAAATTTTTTCCAAATGAAAGGCATTTATTTTAAGAAATGAAATTTAGAATATTCACCTATTTTTAGTTAAGGTAGTAACTACAATAATCTAAAATAGTCATCAATCTAAAAATTGTTGGCAATCAAGGTGTCTGATTTACCTTTTAATGATCTAATCTTATAATAACTATATCTTAAAGATAATAATAAAAACAGTTGCAATAAAAGTAGCAATTTCTTTTCCAAAGATGTCCACAACACCATCTCTTGTCCCACATGCACTCTTGAAATATATTCTTGCCACTCCATCAAGAGAGAGCATTTATTTCCCAACCCCCTCAGATATGAACAGGCTGCATGACTGTTCTGATTAACAGAAATATGGCAGAAGTGATACTTTGTTCTGGGGTGGAGCCATTAACTAAACTGGCAGCTTCTACTTCCCCCTCTTAGAATCCAGCCAACATGTTGGAAGAAGCCCATAGAGAGGTCATAGTTAGATACATGAGTAATCTATCTTGGAAATTCAGCCCCATCAGTCCTTCAGATGACTCGCTCTTGCCAATATCTGATTGCAAGAGCGAGTCATCTGAAGTCACATGTGAGCCCTCAAGTGAAAATCTTCCAGCTGAGACCAGTCATTCCAAAGAATTGAGAATAAGTTATTTTTTAAAATCTTCGTTGAATATAATTACATACCACAAAATCCATCCATTTTAAGTGTATAATAATTCAACAATTTTAGTAAATTTACAGCTATGCAACCATTATGATAATCCAGTATTAGAACGTACTCATCCACTCCCAAAAGGGACCCTCATGCCTACTTACAGTTAAACTCTATTTTCACCCTCGCTAATAACTGTTCTGGTTATTGTCTCTATAAATTTGCCTTTTCTAGAATTTTATATAAATGGAATCTTATAATACATAATATTTTGAGCCTGGCTTCTTTCACTTAGAATATTTTGAAGTTTATCCACATAATAGCATGTATCAGAAGTTTGTTCCTTTAATTGCTAAATTAAATTCTATTCTATGGATATACCTAGAGATATTTATCCATTCACAGGTTGATGGACATTTGGATAATCTCCAGTTTTGCACTATCATGAATATTGATTTCCTACTGGTATTTATGAGGAGCTTGTTAGTTCTTCAATGGCTTCAAGCAGATTTTGTTTGTCCAGCTTTTCCAGCTACTTCAGGGGGCATGTTAGTATAAGTTAGTTAGTTGTTATTGGAAGCTTGAATCATCAAGTGGTTAAAGTTATAAAACAACTATAGTTTTATCACCAACAATATTTCTTGTTTGAGCGTATAAAATGTTTCCGAATGATTAATTTTAAAACTACTCTCTGTGCCATAAAAAAATCATACAAACCTTTTGGCCTTAGATTGTATGGTATAAATTTTATCATTAATATACTTAATTTCACTATTTATGAGCTTGAGCCATAACCTAAGATTATTTCATTTGTACAGCACATTTTTATTCTTCAAAATACTTTCACCATCTATTATTTATAATTTGTCCTAATAACTCCCCTCTGAAGTAGATATAAACACTATAATCTTCATTTTAAAAAGGGATAAAGTTAACCACATTCATTTATCCTAAAAAAATAATGTAAGAAAGTAATCTTAAAGTTAAACGTATTTGACTTTTGCAATCTCACCTGACTTTCCACTGTGGTACTCTGTACCAGACTCTGATTCAGATGTTCCAACATATTTCAGTATTTGATGTCCACAGCTTATAGGATAAAACAGATAAATATATAGAAACATATGTATATGTAATAAATGAGGCCATTTTTTTATTTAAATACAATTAGAAAATCTTTTTTAACCAAGATCTCAAATGCAACACATCCTACTATTCTAATCTCTATATAAGTTTAATAGGTTTATCCTAGAAAGTATCTGTGTGTCCCTGAAGAAAATAACATTTTGAAAAAGTCAACACATTTGAGGTAAACACTTATTACTAGCAAAACAAATTAGAATGAGCACCATATGAACTGGGTATTATAAATCAGCACTAAAGTAGTAAAGACTAAATTAACTCTCATACATTTACTGATATCTTATGGTAGATAGAATACCACTATTTCATTTTAGATGGAGATGACTAAATTCAAAAATGAGTAACAATGAAATGAGAAAAATCTTATTTATAATAAAAAAAATACTAGATAAAGAGGATACAATTCATCATCGAGTTAGAATATGGAACTAGGAAACAAGTAATATTTTACTGAAGAACATATATTGTAAAACAGAAGTAAACATGTAGATACTTTACCTGTTACATAAATTATTATCAGAATTTCTATGTTGCTGATAAAAATCTGGCGAATTGGGTGCATCACCCAGAGATCTGTGTAAAATAACACTTGGCTTAGTAAGAAAGTCAGCAGTGTCAGGAAATTCAACAGGTGTTCGATTAGTTAGAGAGCCAGCAGACACTGGTCCATGGCTGGGAGAATTCACAGGACTCAAGCTGGGTAACGCACCTTGAAAAATTGAGAGGAAAAAAATGTGTATATAAGTGCATACTGTTGATTGTCTATGTTTGTGTACTTACAAAGAGCATTTTCCTTCTTTAAAGAAAGCAAATTATTTACAATTAAATGATAAAACAGACTTCTAGGTGGAGCTATCTTCAAGACATTCTAGGAATTTAAGCAGAATATAGGCCATATTTGTCATCATCAATGACTGAAATAAACACTCTATAGCAGGGTCGCATGTTAAAGGTAAATATTAAGAGTATAACTAAAATGTACATACTGCATGGCACAAATTTTCCTAATTCATATTGGTCTTTATCTTTCACATTTTGTGTCTCCACCAACTTGATTATTCACATGAACAAAGCATCTTTACCAAATTTTATCAAATATTTTGCGAAATAGTAAAATTGATTTTTATTGAAGAATCAAAGTTCTTTTTTTTCTTATGAAGTGATCCCCCTATTACTCTAGCATCTATCTGGCACTACACACAATCATTCCAATAATATTGACTATATGCCCTGTGCTGTACTTTATATCCCCGTGACTGTTTTGTAACTACTAATTTGTTCTTCTTCATCCCTTCACCTTTTTCACCCAGTCCCCCGACTCGCCTCCCCTCTGGCAATCACCAGTTTGTTCTCTGTATCTGCTAGTCTGTCTTTGTTTAGTTTGTTCCACTTCTTTTGTTCTTTAGATTCCACATACAAGTGAAATCATATGATATTTATCTTTCTCTGTCTGACGTATTTCACTCAGCATAATATGCTCTAGGGTTATCCATCTCATTACAAACGGTTAAAAATTTTTTAATGGCTGAGTAATATTCTGTTGTATATATGTACTATAACTTCTTTATCATATCATCTATTGATGGGCTCTTAGGTTGCTTCCATATCTTGGCTATTGTGAACAGCATTGCCATGAACACAGGGTACACTAGTGTTTGGGTTTTCTTTGGGTAAATTTCCACAAGTGCAATTGCTGGGTCAAAAGGTTGTTCTATTTTTAATTTTTTGAGGAACCTCCAAACTGTTTTCCATAGTAGTTGTACCAATTTATAAACTTCTTAATAGCATTAAGCAAGTTGAGCATATGATAAAATTATATGTTAACACGACAGCATACCCTTTAAAAAAACATGCAAACCTTCCTAGCTTATTCATTTATTCAATACATATTCGAAAGCCTACTATATGCTGGAAAATGTGCTGAGTTTTCCAATGGAGAGAAAGATACCATCTCTGCAATTCAACAAACCTAGAGTCTAGGGGAGAATACAAACAAGTGCTAAGTGCTAAAATAAGAAAAATCAGAGTGCTTCAGAAATGCATCTCTAATCCTACTGATTTACTCAAGAAACCTTTGCTGAGTGCTTTGACCTAAGGCAATATGGGTATGTCTGAGACAGGCAGGCAGATTTAAAACTTTATTTAAAAATAACCAAGTAAAGTATGAATCAGAGAGGAAAGCAAATAACCGTTATTAAGTACCTATGATATTTTCAGGCACAGTGGTAAACACTTAGAGATATGTGTGGTTAATTTTATGTGTCAATTTGGTTAGGCTATGGTGCCCAGCTGTTTGATCAAACAGTAGTCTAGATGTTACTGTGAAGATATTTTTTGGATGTGATGAACATTTATATCAGACTGAATTACCCTCACTGTAGTTTGACCTCATCCAATCAGTTGAAAACCTTGAGAGAAAAAAGACTGAGGTCCTCCAAAGAGAAAGGAATTTTGCCTCCAGATTGCTTTGAGACTCCAGACTGCAAATTCAGCTCCTGCTAGAATTTCCAGGCTAGCAGCCTGCACTGAAAATCTCAGACCTGCCAGCCTTTTTTTTATCAATGCCTTAAATCCATCCCCCTACCCTCTTTCTCTCACTCTCTCTACATACATACATAGACACACACACAAACATCCTATTCTCTTTCTCTGGAGAACCCTGACCAATACAATGTGTTACTTAATCTTCACAATAACCCTTTGAGTTAAGTAGCATTTTTACTTTACATGTGAAGAGAAAAACTACAAAGAAAACTCCAGGAAACTTGATTTAGTTAACACAGTTAATACTGTGAGACCACGCTCTTTCCAGGGATGCCTCTGCTGTTCTATCAGATTGTTTAAATTAAAAAAATTTTTTAATTAAAAAAATTTAAAAAGAGAAATTTTATTTCTCTTTTGAAGTACTGAAATGCCAAATTGTCTTCCAAAGTGGCTGTAACGTTTTACTTCCCCAACAGCAATGTATGAGCGTTTCTACTTTGGAACATTTTAATCATCATTTGTCATCATCTGTCTTTATAATTAATTGCAGACATCATAGTAGGTATGAAGTCACAGTTCATTGTGGTTTTGATTTCCATTTCCCTAATGATTAATGATGCTGAGCATCTTTTCATGCAGTTATAGGCCATTTCTATTCTTCTTTGGAGAAATGTCTATTCTGATTTTCTGTCCATTTTTTTAATAAGGTCATTTGTCCTTTTATTATTATTTTTTTGTCTTTATTGAAATGGACAATTAGTTGCTTGTATTTACATTGTACAATTCGATGATTTTTTTTGTCAATTATAGTTGGCATACAATAACGTACCAGTTTCAATTGTATAGCACAATGATCAGAGATCTACGTAACTCACAGTGATCACCCCGCTAAATCTAGTACCCCTCTTCTCCCTTACATATTTATTACAACCTAGAATCTAGGGGAGAATACGAACAAGTGCCATCTTATTAACCATCTTCCCAGTGCTATACTCTACATCTCCATGTCTATTCTGCAACTATCCATTTGTACCTCTTAATCCCTTTGCCTTTTTTTTGGTCCCTCTCAAACCCCCTCCCACCTAGTATCCCTCTAAACATTCTCTGTATCTATGAGTTTATCTCTGCTTTTGTTGTTGTTGATTTTGTTCTTTAGTTTTCACATGTACATGAAATCATGATATCCGTCTTTCTCTATCCGATCCATTTCATTAAGCACAATATCCTCTAGGTCCATCAAGGCAGTATCTTTTTCCATCCCCTTCCTTTTAGTCTGTGTGTCTTTTAATCCTAAGTGAGTTTCTTGTAGGCAGCATACGTAGGGATCTTGTTCTCTTATACATTCAGCCACTCTATCTTTTGGTTGGAGCATTTAATTCTTTTCCATTTGAGGTACTTGTTGATAGGAATGTAGTCGTCACCATTCTTTCTTCCTGTTTTTGATACATGTTTTTCCTTCTTAAAGAAGTCCCTCCAATATTTGATGTAATACTGGCTTGGCGATGATAAATTCCTTTAGCTTATTTTTGTCTGAGAAGCTCTTTAACTGTCCTTCAACTCTAAATGGTAGCTTTGCTGGATAAATTATTCTTGGTTGTAGATCCTGGGTGCTTCATCGAGTCCAATATTTTGTGCCAAGCCCTTCTGTCCTACATAGTTTCTTTTGAGAAATCAGCTACCAGTCTTATGAGTGCTCCCTTGCAGGTAACTAACTGCTTTTCGCTTGCTGCATTTAAGATCTTAGTATTTAACCTTCGGCTTTTTAATTATGATGTGTCTTGGTATGAGCCTCTTGTTTTCCTTCAGGTACCTCTATGACATGAATATTTTTACCTTTAATAGTGTCCCATAGGTTCCTTAAATTATTATTATAGTCTTGGCTTCTTTTTTCTTGCCATTCTGATTGAGTGTCCTTGGCTTTCCCACCCTCTAGATAGGTCATTTGATCCTCTTCTTTATTCACTTTTTCCATTTAACTTTTCATCTCAGCTAATGTGTTCTTTATTTCAGACTGGTTCCCTTTTATACATTCCATTTCCATTTTTATGTTTTTTTATCTCTTTGCTGAGTTCTCACTGAATTCATCTATATTTCCCAAAAGTTCCTTGAGCATCTTTATAACTAGTGTTTTGAACTCTGTATCTGTTAGATTGCTTTACTCCATTATTCTGGATCTCTGTTCTGTTCTCTCATATGGTCTGTGCTTCCTTGTTTTCCTATTTTGGCTGCCTTTCTGTGTCTATTTCTATGTACTAAGCAAAGCTCTTAAGTCTCCCAGTCTTATTAGTGTGGCTTTGTGTGGTAGGTATCCAGTGGTACACCTGAGAGGGGTTCAGCTGCAGGTCAAATTTAGCTCCAGCCTGTGCCCCTTCGGGGCTACCTGTTAAGATTCAGCAAGCAATCCACAGATGCTATGCTTATAGTTGCCTCAAAAGGTCACACCAGAAACCAAGGCCAGCTGCCACCAGTGTGGGTCCAGACACTGCTCAGCAAGGGACACTTGAATAAGCAAGGACACACTTGGGTGGGGCCATGAGTTGGGGGAGGTGGAGTTTCAGGGACTCCTGGGCAGAGTGACCTCTCCTATCCAGTTTGATGACCTCTCGGCTATGGCAGCGGCACTGGGTCCACACACTGGGAGCAGGGAGAGCTCAAGAGAGAAACAATAGATACCTTCAGCACTTCTGTCCAGGAGAGATCCTTGCTTCCGGCCCTCACTCAGACAACTCAGTGTTCACCTATAAGTCCCTGGCGCCTCCCCAAGCAGCCAACCCTGAGCTGGTGCTCAGAATGAGCAAGTCCATCAGCGAGAAAGTCCACTTGTGGATGCGGCCCCTTTTAGAGGCATCTGCAGCTGCTTGCTGCCACTGTCTCCATCCCACTCAGCCGCTTGGGACCAGGCAGCCCCGCATCCTCACCCTGTCCTACCTTCTGCCATTGCAGGGTGATTTCTTAGATTTCTCCCTAGCTGTATGGCTTGTTCATCTAGATCCCAGGTGATTTTTCCTTGCTGTTTGCATCTTGTTTCTGTCACAACTTTGATTTGGTCGCCAGAGGGATGAACAGAGCCTCTATCATCTACGCCATTTTTTTCCCACCTACTTCTGTCCTTTTATTATTGAATTATAAAACATCTTTCTATGTTATGGATACAAGTCCACTGTCAAATAATGATTTGCAAATATTTTCTCCCACCCTGTGAATTGTCTTTACACTTTCTTTAGGTGTCTGTTGAAGTACAAATGTTTGTAATGCATTCCAATTAACAATTTTTTTCATTCATGAACTGTGCCTTTGGTGTCCTATCTAAAAATGCTTTACTTAATACCCAAAGTCACAAGGTTTTCTCCTACGTTTTCCCATACAAGACTTACATTTGAATCTGACGCGTTTGAGTTAATTTTTGAGTATGATGGCAGGTGGGGTTCCAAATTCATTCTTTTTCATGTGGATATCCAGTTATTTCCATGCCATTCTTTTCCCATTGAATTATCTTGACACTCTTGTTAAAAATCAATTGACCATGTAAGGGTTTATTTCTGGACTCTCAGTTCTATTCCAATAAGTTGGAATATCCTTATGCCAGTACCACAGTCTTGATTACCATAGTTTAGTAGTAAGTTTGAAAATTTGGAAGTGTTGAGTTCTCCAACTTTTTCTTCTTTTAAGGATTGTTTTAACTATTCTAGGTCTCCTGAATTTTCTATCAAGTTTAGAATCAGCCTGTCAAATTATTCAAAGCGGCCAGCTCAGATTTTGTTTTGGTAAGGCTTGTCCTAAATCTAGAACTGGGGAGTATTGCCACCTTAACAATATTGAGTCTTCTGATGCTTGAACATGGAATACTTTTCCATTTATTTAAATCTTCTTTACTTTTTTCAACACTGTTTTACAGTTTTCAGTGTATAGGTGTAGTCTTGTACTATTCTGTTAAATTTAATCCAAAGTATTTTCTTTTTTGATGTTAATTGTGAATGGAATTATTTTCTTAATTTCATTTTCGTATTTTTATTACAAGTATATAGACATACAATTGACTTTTGCATATAGATCTTGTATCGTGCCACACTGATGAACTTGTTATTGGTTGTAATAGGTGTCAATGGATTTCTTAGTATTTTATAATACATGATCATGTCATCTGCAAACGTAAGTTTTCTTCTTATATTCCTTTTTTCCCTAACTGCCTTGGCTAAAAATATCCAATCCAGTACTGAGTGGAAGTGGCAATTATTTTATAATTTTGTTTTATAATTTCTAGTTCATTATTTATATGATCTCTTTGGTGAGACGCTTTTGGCATACTCTTCTTAAATATTTTAGATATAGTTTCCTCTAGTTTTCAAACATATGTATAATGGTAGATTTAAAGTCATTTGCTAAGTACAAAATCCAATTTCTCCCTCAGGGAAATTTTTTGTTGGCTGGTTTTCCTTGTGTACGTGGAGAAAAAAATCTTGTTTCTTTGTATGTCTTATAATTTTTTGTTGAAAACTGCACATTTTAGATAATATACTATAACAGTTTTGGTACCAGACTGCTCCTACCCCTAAGGTCTGTTATGTTGCTGGTTTGGTTTTCTTATTTATGATTATGTGTTGAGTGACACTCTTGGATTCCTTATATAGATTGTTTTCTCAGGCGTGTAGCCACTAAATTCTCTTTTAAGTTACTAATTTATTTTTTAAGCTTGACTTCTTAGAAGTCACTCCTGGGTCAGTATATTTTAATGGTCAATCAATGATAAACCAGAAGATTTATTTAAATGTCTTGCCTATATGTTATCTGTAGATGGCAATCTGTTTGAAAAGATACACCTTAAAACTTCAGGCAGTTTACAAAGCAGCTTTTCACCTCCTGCTTATGCAGAGCCTCGAGGTCAGGTACAGCTGAGTGACTGGGGCCTTCTCCTTTCCTAGATCTTCCCTAGGCACAGACTTATTATACATGTGCTCAGCCTACTAGATCCCCAGTAATATATCAGAGCTTTCCAAATTCAAGTTCCCTGTGGTCATCTAGTATCTAGGATTTCCTTTTAAATTCCCAGTCAGCTCTTGTTTGTTCCAATTGAAATCATAGCCTTAAGCTGTCACAGTGTTGCCTGGCACAGGGTTTGGTTTTTTGCTTTTTGTTTTGGAGTGCTGAGCCCTGAGTCAAATCAAATATCTACAATGCCCTGAGAACAGAGATTTTCCAGGGAGCTGTAAATTTGGACAAAATGTTTATTGTATTCAGAATGTTGCCTTTAGCAGAGTTCCAAAAGAGGTCAGACCTCTCCAATGGCTGCAAAGCTACTGGTTTTTAGCTACAGTGCCACTGAGCTGGGGAAAGAGGGGATGGGAATAGCCCCCAATTAAAAGGTCGCACAGAACCCACTATGTTACTAAGAAGTTTCTCTTGTACAGATGACTTCTAGTTTGCTGTCTGGTTTTATTAATTTCCAGAATTACAAATGGTTGTTTGGTTTTTATTTTTGTTGTTTTAATATGAAAGCAAAATTTACCAAAATCCTCTCTCTGCCATTCTATAAATTGGTCTCTACATGTGATTTTAATCCCTGTGATGTACAGGGTAAAATAAGTTGTTATAAATAGGCCTTTAGTAATATAGTGGTGAGGTGTAGGGGGAGGAGAAGTCTTCTATAACTTATGATTTAGTCTCACTGTTAGTGAGCCTGTGCCTCTAGACTATGAACTTCACAAGTGTTTCTCAGTTTCTTTTTTGTTGTTGTTGTTGTTGTTTTTGCCTCCCTGCTGTGGTGGGAAAAGATGGCTAGAGCTGACTGGAGTTGGGTAATACCCCAGCAGTTTAGGCTCTGATTAACTAGCTTCTCCTAAGGGTAGGCCTTGTTAAGAAGAACAGAGTACTCGGATATATTTCAAAATGGTTCCTTTTCCCTTCCCCCTGACAGAAGCATTTTCTGATATTTACTTTGGAAATGTGGTTGAGCTCCTGGAGGTAAATCCCACAAAATTGTGGGGGCCCCTAGGACCAGGTTCCCCTGGAGTTTTCTGACTCTCCCACAGTTTGCTAATCACAGTGCAGGTTACCCTACCTCAGTGCTGATTGTCCCTGAGGTTTCCCTTTGTGAGTCTCTGCTCTAAGACATTTCTCCTGGTTATTTGCCTGTCTGTGTCTCTCATTTTGGCAGAGGTTTTCCCTGTGTTCTCACCCTTACTTCTCACAGATCCTAGAACAGTTGCTGATTTTCAGTCTGTTCAGCTTTTTACTCATTGTGAGGACAAAGTCGTGACTTCCAGTCTCCTTATGTCCAGAACCAGAAATCAAAAGTCTTGTTATTTATATATATTTCTCCTCTCTGTGTTTCAATTTGGATATTTTCTATTTCTCTGTCCTCAAGTTTTTATCCAAAAAGTTTTAAAACAAAATGGGTGAAGGGGGTCAAAAGGAACAAACTTCCAGTTATAAAACAAACCATGGGTATGTAATGTATAGCATGGTGATAATAGTTAATAATATTGCATTGCATACTTAAAAGCTGCTAAGATAAACCTTAAAAATTCTCATCACAAGAAAAAAAAATAACTATGGTGACAGATGTTAGACTGATTTTGGTGATCATTTTGCAATATATATAAAACATTATATTGTATACCTAAAACTAATATGTTATACATCAGTTTATACCTCAAATAAATAGACTTAGTAGGACATAGCTAGGGTTTTTCTACTCTCATATTAAGATTTTTCCTTCACAATTTCCATATTATAGAAAAATATCCTTTTGTAGGGATTTTTCCTTGTTCTGGATATGTGAATCTAGATTTGCAACTATTAAAGTTAAATAGTTCTATTTTTTTTTCCTTGAATCCCTAGTGCCTAACAAAGTTCCCAGCATGTAGATGTTCAAAAAATGTTTAGTGAATGAGTAAATGGCCAACTAATAGACAACCCAAATTGCTTAGTCATAACTTACAACACGCAAAATGGTATTCAAAATTAGCTATTAATGTATAAAGAAAAAGTCTGCATTACCATATACTTTGAGACCTCCCACATTTAAAGCATAAATAATGATTTCTTACCAGCTCTTCTTAGACCTATATGGTGAGTTAGCGACACAGAAGATGACCTTTGCTTCGGGACTGCCAGGAGATTTGAACTGAAAGGCCCATTTAGATAGCATCCTTGACTAAAAGGGAAAGATAACAGGGTTAAGAATTTTAAAATGGTGAGAAATTTCCTCATTTTTTTTCAATTCAGTTAGCAAATATTTGCTTATATATTCAGAGTTTAAATACCCATCTAATGCCTAAGGCCTAAAGCAGGAGTCAGCAAACTTTTTCTAAAGGACCAAATAATAAATACTTTTAGCTTTGCAGGTCATAAGGTCTTTGTTCCAACTACTGACTCTGCTGCTGTAGCACAAAAGTGGCCATAAACAATAATAAGGAAGTATAACTGTGTTTCAGTATAATTTTACAAAAACAGGTTGTGGACTACACTGGGTCCACAGTTTGTACAGTTTGCTGAGCTGTGGCCTAAAGTAGGTTATCAGTGTCACTTGGAGGGCTTCTTACGACATAGACTGTTAGTCCCATCCCCAGGGTTTCTGATTCTGTAAACCTGAGTTAGGGTCGGATTATCTGCATTTCTAACCAGTTCTCAGGTGATGCTGATATTGCTGAATCCAGGGACTTCGCTGAGAATCACTGGCCTAAAATATGTAGTGTTTCGCTATTTTCTGTTCCCTGTCTTCGTAAATATCGATTACCCATTAAGTCAGTCATTTATTATAATTGAAATACAGGTTTTAGGGCTCATATGAATAAATTAAATATAAAGTAGGCAATCATACCAATGTTATACATAAAATGAAGTTAAAGATTATATATCTGAAAACTTCTGGTCTAGTGCCATGCATATAGTAAGAACAACATAAATGAAACGTTCCCTTCCTTTATTAGGTATGCACTAACCTGTTTTCTTCTGTCAGTCAACTCCTGATTTGGGTACTTTGCCACAGACTCAAGGACAAACTTGGATTCTCTATTTTTCATTCAATATTTTTTAGTGTATACTAGGTTCTCAAGCTCTTCCCCAACTACATCTTTTCAGCACTTCCGCATCTCATTACTCAAGAGGACCTATTTTTCTGTGACCTAAAAAGTTTTTGTTCATGACTCTATAATAAGATTTGCCCATAGTGCATTATAATTTCACTGCTTACAGATTCTTTCCCCTTACTAATTTGTGAATTACTTTAGAGGCTATAAGATATATCTCTACATTCACAGTTGATAAAGCACAATGCCTGATAAAGGTGTTCAAGAGATGTTTGTGGAGTAAATCGATTATCTCTTTAGGTTCCTATTCTCGTTCTTCCAGAGAATAGATTTTTTTCTGTTTCTGAATTTTGAAGTAAATGGACACCTTTTCTTTTAACTCGTGCGTTGAGTCTCAACTTAGCCCTTTTTCTAGAAACCTAGTTTGTTCTGTACCCCAATGCGAGAAAAAAATTCTGTTGAATGAGAAGGCATGTAAAACCAATTGGCAACCCCTTGATTAAAACTTCCTTATTGGTATTAAAAAGTATAATAATATCACCCCTATTTTGAGTATTGATAGATCATCTATTGTTTTAGGTAGTATGCATACTTCATCTATTAGTCTATTTTACAAATAAGGAAACTGAGGCTTCAAGAGCTAAGTAATGTTTGCCAATCCACGCAGCTAAAATACAACTTCCAATTTCTTTGACTCTGAAGTGTATTCTTTTCCCACAAAACAATTCAACCTGTGTGTTTCTCCATCTGTAAAATTAGAGATTTAAAATAAAGGACTTCTGAGGCAATGTCTAGCCTTTAGATTCTTTTTTTTTTCCTCAAGCCAGCAGTAATAATGTCACAGAGGCAATGTGCAAATAATACCAGCCAATACACTCATCTCCCCACAAATTCTCATTCTTTGTATTTGAGTATTCTTTGCCTACCTGTGGAATGGGAGAGACTGGGAAAGAAGAGTAACAATACCATCTAAGGTAACAGTCAAACAGAAAAATCTGTGTACTCTACCAAAGTCTACTCCCTGGTCAATATCCAAAACAAAAATAGAGATTTTTTTCCATTTCGGCACTCCTCCAGTCTTCTATTAATTAAAGAGAATCATAACTCAGTTGTTTAAAATTGAGAGGTACAGGTCAAATTATAAGTTTTCAGTTCAGTTCCAAAATCATCTCAATAATTCCTGGCCTTGAACCAGATAAACATGCACCCCCATGAGACTACATAAAACAATACTGAAAAAAGTAGAGGACAAGACAGGCTAGGAGTCCCAATGATTACTAATAGAGAGTAGAAGGGTGATTCAAATCAGACTTAGGAATCAATATTCAAATCCTGATGCACGAACATTATAAGAGAGATCAAAAGTTAGGGTCACAGAGATAAGCTGTAAATTAAGAGTTGATTTCTAGACAATTAAGGCAAATTACCTTGACAAGGTTTGTATCACCTCATTAAAAATTTTTTTAACACCTACAGCACCTGGTCTTCCTAGGTGGTCTCTCATCCAAGTACTAACCAGGCCCGACCCTGCTTAGCTTCTGAGATCAGACGGGATCGGGCGTGTTCAGGGTGGCATGGCCGTAGACTCACCTCATTAATTTTGTTTTTGAAGCAGTTGTATAAACTTGTCGGCTATATATCTATATTTATAAAACTATTCTCTTAAGAAACTGAGTGGGATAATACCATTAGCCCTCTTGATCTCTGTAGTTCAAATAAGCTCCAGGCATTGGTACAGATCTTTAATAAATTATGAGAAGCTGATTCTCAAGTATATTATTTAGGGGACATACTCTTGCCAGGCAACAAGTTATTAGATTTAATTATAGAGCTGTTACGGAGATTAACGATGAATCAGAACAGGTTGAGAGTAAGTCTCTGTGGTGTAGAAGTAACTAACAGCTGATAGCCCACACAGTTTTGGGACACAGTTTGCCTGTTTGCCTAGGAAACTGTTCAAAGGGAGCAAGTAAGCAGTGAGCTCTGACTATGTGCTATATTTTGTCCATAGGGAGGGTCTGGTCCTAGCAGCTTGTCCAAGGACAGCCATCCTTTTAGCCATAAGTATAAACACTGGAATTGAAAGGTGAGTAATTCAAGTGTCAGCTTACCCAGAAAAACATTATTCAACCTTCCCTGCAACTCCCTGATCAGAGAAACTTCACCGTAGGTCTGAAACTTAAGCAGAAGGCAGGCAGTATCAACTGTCATAATCCAATGTGGACACCATGCCCCTGCAGGACACTTTTTAGCAGCTGTTCATCTTCAAAGATTTGTTTTAATGCAATCCCAAACTCTTCACAATGACCAAGCAAGCCTCAGAAGAGTAGTAATACCTTCTAACACAAGGTAGAAAGTAAAAGGTGCCACAAAACAGGCAAGAAAAGGTGTTGAGATTTGAGGTGAAACTGACTGTTTCCTTGGAGATCAAGGAAGGAGGATGCCAGGGTGTTACCCTTAATAGGTGGCATCTGAGCCACATATTTGAAGAAATGCAGAAATGAAGGTGAGAAGATCTATTCTGGGAACAACTAAAGGACACAGAAGTGGACAAATAGAAGCTTGGCTGGAGTTTCAGATAAATAGAGAAAGATGATGTTAGACAGGTATTTTGGTGTTGTAAAGTAATGGTCCTTTTAATTAAAATCTCAAGTTCTTTAAGACATGAACAGTGAAAAACTTAAGGGTTGGTAATACAGTGGCTGTTCAGGTAGGAATAGCTCTCCTTCCTTGTGATTTTCTTCCCTTAGATTCCCCATTAAAGTTTATGATGCTTCACTGTTTTTATCCAGGCAAAGCATGAAGAGAAGCAAAATTAAATTTCATATTACTCTTTATACAAATGAGGTAGGCTTGAAACTAGAATTCACCTTAAGCTCCAAATGGAGTTAAACTAAAAACAAAATTATCAGAAAGTAGACAAAGACAACAGTTTAGTGGTTACCAGAGGGGAAGGGGGAATAAGAAAAGGGTAAAAGGGGTCAAATATATGGTGACAGAAGGAAAGTGGTGAGCACACAATGCAATATACAAATGATGTATTACAGAACTGTACACTTGAAACCTACATAATTTTATTAATGTCGCTGCAATCAATAAAATAATTTTTTAAAATTATGAGAAAACTTCAACAAGGAAGAGTCTAACACAAATTATGTAACTGTTGTTTTCACCTAGAGAGCTTTCCAAATCATTTTTCTATTCTCTTTCTTTGCCAAACTGCTCATCTCTTTTAGTCAGTGTAATTTTTCTAAGTAAGGGTTCAGTTTTGTCGTGAAGGAATACCAGGGTTCCGAATCCCAGGCTAGGAATTTGGGTACTAGTCTACGGACATTGACAAAGATCATACGTTAAAAATCTATAACTATGTTGTCTAATATGGTTGCCATACATATCTATATGGCATTTGTGTATGGCTCTTTTTATTTTAATTAAAATTCAATTTAATTCAGTTCCTTAGTCATACTAGTAACCAACAGCCACATATAGCTAGGGTCTACCATACTGAACAGTATAGATATAAAATATTCTCATTATCACAACAATTTCTATTGGACAGCATGAATCTACAGACTCGAATTTCAAAAAGATAATAGTTGTAAATGATTCATATGTTCCCATCCTATGTTCAAAATACACTTAGAAATTGATTACTAATAAGCTCTAGCTTCTGCACACTACTTGTACCCTTATTTCTTTAAAGTAGATGTTACATAATACCACCTTGATTTCCCAAATTTCTAAATCTTTTATGAGGGATATGGTTTTGTTTTAATGAAAGTTAAGTAAATATATCACATCTGCCTACATATGCCTTTATATGCGCACTTCTCAGAGTTAAAAATTAGTCTTCTTTGGACCATATTTCTATTTAAATATCAATCAGGATAAAAATGACCTTAAGTCAATGTATCAAACATTTCTTTAATTGCAAATGTACTGCTGTTATATCAATGTGATAGGATTTAAAAAAATCATTTTCCTCAGTTTCTTAAACTCAATAATATTCCCAAGATGATGTTTCCACAGTTAAGAAATATCCATCATATTTTAAGTTCCTAATATCATTCACTTCCCCATGTCCAGCTTCCATAAAAAAAAGTAAAATAACTATCATGCTTAGAATCTAGTAAGCTTTGGACCAAAGCTCATTTTCCTGTACTGTACTCTTCATACGTCAATCCATTCCTGTTTTATAAGGAGTCTATCTATTTAAATGTATTATAGAAGATTCGAATCACAAAATAATCTGGAAAATTATAATTATCTGATTATATTTCATCTGTAAATGGTAACATAAATTTTAACAGATAAATAGCTATGGTCCAATCCTGCCACCTAGTGATTCAAATGTGTAACTACATAACTCAAGCTAAACAAAGTATAGCACATGCTCTGTAATAACAGAGTGGTTTAACAGGAAATATGCACTAATTTTAATTTTATTAATGTAGTTAGATAATCGACTAAATAGAAGCTTATAACTCACGCAAGAGATCACTCTCTTTCTTGGCTTTTAAAAGACAAAGTAGTGAATCTTTTGTTATCAGGGTAGGTAAATGAGTATATTTACATTCAAAAGATTTCAGCTCCTGCATTTTCCCAGTGTCCTTTTGTTGTAGTACCTGATGCTTTTCATAGATAACTAACATCTGAGATGAACCCTGATAATGTGTTTCTCCTTTCACAAGTCAGTAACTCTGCTGACTTACATTGGATATTATGCATGGGGCTGGTGACTGCTCCCATAATGGTTGCCTCTAGTTTAAAAGCTTTAAAAGCTTTCGTAGTACTCTGTCCTAAATTGATCCTGGCTTCCTTAAAACTGCCTCCCTGATGTATGTCCTCAAGGCCCAACATGCTTGATACTCAACATACCTCAATTTGGGGAAAACACATGTTAGCTTCTTTTTAAGAATCAGTTGCTCTATTATGCCATATTACTAGTCATGCCATCCTATATCTAAAATATCTCAACTGTTCCTTTCTGCTTCTAGAACTATTTCAAACTGTATACAAACAAAGTTGAATGTCTCAGATTCAGGTTTCTTTAAAAGGCTCTGGGGATTTTACCTTGAAATGCCAAATTCTTGGTGAGGCCTTCTGCCACTGTTGCGTTCCCACCTTGATGAAGAATGTTCAAGAGGTGGCAGACTTGAAGTTCCTGAGCTCCTCCTCAGCTGTGGAGTTGGTAAACTGCTCCTACTGTTCAGCCCCTATTGAAGAATTTAACAATGGTTAAAGTTGTCACCCTTTACTATGCTGTATATGTATTAAAGATGGCATGTAAAAATATCAATACGAAGTATATTTTTAACATGTATAGGAGGAACAACATTTTATTCTGAAAATATGTCAATTTTACTCTAAATTCCACATTCTATACTGTTGTTCTACTTAATCTTTCTCCTACTAAAAAATGATTTCTGAACTCCTTACATTATTAACATAATCCTTTCTGGCTATAATTTAGGTCATATAATTAATCGTTCTTGGCTCTTAACACATATATAAGACATTTATATTATCGGTTCAAACTCCCTTTCCTTACTAATTATTTTTTCATAAATGTTGTTCTTTCCTGAAGTAACATTAGGTTTCTCCTTTTCCAAAGCAGAGACAAATTAGGTACGAAATTCAAATAAGTTTAAAGAACACTAAGAAATACGGGTTACTTCCTGGTTCTTAGGTGACTTCTATCAGTGATTTCAGTACTAGAAATAAGCCAGATTAACTAGAATGTTCAGGAAATGAGGCGGTTAGGCATCCTGTTGAATATTATTCTTCAAAATGTTTCTAAAATGTACTAGTATACTTTTCCACACAGTAAATTAAATATAGTGACAACGATACTATCAATATGATTTAATGATTAAGATTTTTAAGAATTACTATTTGTAAAAATTATTCTAAACCTCCAATGTCAATGGAAAATACAAAGGAAGAGCATTATGTCAAGTGAAAAGTAACTCAAGAATATATTAGTTATTTTATTGATGAATTTGTTGCTTTCCCTTTTTGATGCTTGTGCTTAACCTCTTTCTCATAGGTAGAGACCTAAAAAAAATGCTATATAACTAAGTATCATTGTTAATTGGGTTTTGACTAATGCCAGTGCTACTCTAATTTCTTTTCAAAAATAAAAGCATCACATAACTACCTATGACCTAGATTTGTGATCAATAATTATCAAATTTTTGCCCTAATCAGGCATGTTTAATTTATCAACATTTCTATGCCCTAATGCTGAGAACAAAATTAAATTAACTGATGTTCAAAATCCCTCCAAAAAGTATATTTAATTTTTTCTAAGTTCTATATACACTATTATGAGTGAACAAAATGAACTGATTTCAATTTTATTGTCTCTTGATTAGTTTTTCTACTTGTAGAATAAAGTAGTTCAACTAAAATAATCTCCAAAATGTTTCTAAAGTTTTATGATTTTAGCAATCGGTAAATTTGATATCGATAGTCAAATAAAACAATTAAAAGCACTCTGGACAACCATAATGTATGCCTACTTAGAACAATATTATTTCTAAAGGAAATCCTATTTTGAAGCAGTAATATTTAAAAAGAAATTAATCCTATATCTAATGACAGAAAAAGCAGTGCCTATTGGCCTATAGCAATCTCTAGAGAGTAAAGAGGGAAAAAAAATAGAGAATTTTTTAAAATGTGAAAATCAATTTAAAATACATAATGAACATTATAATGATCATTTCTTCTTGGTTCAACAAGAACAATTCCTGGATTCTAAAAAAAAATAAAATAACTGACATGATTTGACTACTAATTTGTTGTACAGCCTAGAATTAAATTTGCTTATTGTTCTCTACTTCTTAAAAACAAAAACAACAACAATAAATAGTTGTTACTGATGCAGTTATAACTGCTAATTATAGCAACGTTACTTAGGATAAAAAGTGAATACTCGTTTCGAATGATCTGAGATTATAACAACCTCTAAAGCCCCAAGCAGCTCAAATTCCTTGAAAAAGAAATTCTAGTTTATTCAAGATTTAAAAGAGCAGTTTAGATTTGAAAATATCAAATGCGATAAATAGGGCTGGCTGATGACTGTATTTTGACCTTGAGAAATTTTCGATCTCCTCTCTCCGCTGGGTCCTCTACTTCAGAGCAGGGGTAAAATCCAGGAAACGGTGTGAGAGGATTTATCTTTGGCCTACAGGAACCTGAGAAAGCACCCATCAAGCTACTGATACTCCGCAGGGAAGAAACCACTTGTGGTGGAAGGGTGGGATCAATCAGAAGATCTGACACCATATTGCGAGCCTCATTTAGCACTGAAAGATCAACTCCACTTCCACCTCCAGAATTCTAGAAAAGGAAAAAAACAGTAAAATGATATTTGTTAGAAAATCCAACATTTAAGAAAAACTTACTCGATTTTAAATCAAGATCTATCTAACAATATCTAAGTAATTTAATCCTATTAAATATTGTCATTTATTTGGCTATGACAAGTGATATAACCATATGGTATCATTCTTACTTTTGATGAAATATGTAGCAAATAGTGTGAATTTTACTTTTTTCTATATTTTTCATTAGCTTATCTCATATTTAACAGTAATAACTGAATTTATAACTAGCATAAAACTAAATTTGCATTTTATTTCAAAGTTTATATATAATTTGGACATTTTATTTATTGATGATTTCTTTTCCTTTTTGTTAAAAATATACAGCATTTCTTTCATTTACTTTACTCACTTAAGAGGCGTCTAACATAGTGACAAGGCTTTGTTGCAAAGATAGGAGTCTGAAATCTAGATTTTAACCTTAACTGTGTGACTTTGAGCAAGTCATTTAACATCTGAACTTTTTAGTTTCTTCACTGTAAAATGGGGATAACACTAATCTACCTCATTAAGGGCTGATGTGAGAATTAAATACATGTAAAGCACATAAAGCAATGTATGGCGCATATATTTACAGTACAATCAGTATTATGGAAAATTAGGAGCTAAAAATACAGACAAAATTATATCAGGGTTCAAAGGAAACAGCTGTAACTTTGAACTGATGGTTAACGAAAACAGCATAGAAAGAACAGCGTCAGGGCTGGGCCCCCTAAAATGGGTAGAAAATATATTTTTAAATTTTTAAATAAATGTCATTAATGTATATATATATGACTTTTACTTTTCAAAAATACATAGATATTATGTTCAACTGAATTACCCATAGAAATAAGTGCAAAAAAAATCAGTGAATTAAATGTTACTTTTGTTTTTCTGTACTTTGAACTTACATTTGTGTTTGGAATTCATGATTATTCAAAGTATTTAATGATTTCACCATGAAACTGTTTAAGTATCCTCAATAGATACATTTGAGAATTAAATCAACAACACATTTTGGAATTAAAATGTTATGAAAGTTAGACCAATAATTAGCTAAGTAAGTCTTTGCTCTTTGTAGAATTCTTTTTTCTTTTACTTGTGAAGTATTATTTTGTATTAGTTTTTATTTTTAAACATTCTCCATTATTGGGACATAGCCCAGCTATTTCTAGTCTTTATAAACATACCTCTCTCTATATCACTATAGATAATTAAGCATACTTCTGGCAAATAGCTTCCAATAATTTCAATTGCTGAGCCAAAGTAAATGAACATGTTAAAATTTGATCATTACTATAAAACTGCCCTTACATATATTGGTCAAATCTATACTTCATGAATTATCCATAATAGTATCTATTTTTCTTCACCCAAATGAGAAATCTGCTGTTACTAACTCAAGTTTACAGGAACACCAACTCAGGTGTTCCTCTAAAAGTAATGTGTCATTTCTCTCTGGCTACTTTCAAGATATTTTCTTTTAGTTTTCAAAAGTTTAATTATGACATGTCTTGTAGTAAATTTTTTGAGAGGTTAATCCTATTCAATACTCGCTTAGCTTCTTGTATTTGTAGAGTTACATCTTTTGCAAAATTTGGGAAGTTTTCAGCCATTATTTCTTCAAATACTCTTAAACCCACTCTTTTTCTCCCCTCCTCATTCGTCAGTAATACGAATGTTGGATCTTTTATTATTGTCACTCAGGTTCCTATGGCTCTACTCATTTTGTTTCCATCTGTTTTCCCTGTGTTGTTTAAACTGAGTAAATTCTATTGCTCTATCCTCAAGTTTACAGATACTATCCTCTGTAAACTCTATTTTACCACTTAGCCTATTCAGCAAGTTTTTAATTTTTATTATTATATTTTTCAGTTCTATAATTTCCATTTCTCTTTTATAACTAATATTTCTTTTCTGAGATGTTCTATTTTGTTAATTTGTTTCAATAGCATTTGTAATTGCTTGTTAGAATATTTTTATGATGGCTGCCTTTAAATTTCAATGTCAGATAATTCCAAATGTGATTCATCTTGGTAAGCATTGGTTCTCTTTTCTCATTCAAGTTCTGATTTTGCCAGTTCTTGGTATGACAGGTGATTTTTTATTTTATCATCAACATTTATGCTAGAAGATTCTGGATACTATTTAAATCTTTTATATTAGGAGGTAGTCCTTTTGTTTAGATTTAGCCACCCGGGTTTTGGTCTACTTTTTCAGGCTGTCGTTCTAATAACAATTTAATTTTCAGGGCATTCACAGTGATATTTCAGTTTGCTTAATTTTTTTCTAGTGCCACCATGTTCCCAGTAGTCCCTGCTGGTGACTCTGCTGGGGAGTTGGGGTGGAGGGAGAGGGGCAGCTTCTTTAGGATGGGCCACTTGGGACCTCAAGGTGGAAGAAGGGAAAACTTTCTAGGTTAAAAATCTGTTGTGGTGGTATCCTCTATGCTGTCTCCCCCACCAGCCACCCAGTGTCTGTCACTGGGAAAGGGGTCTCATGCCCAGTAGGGAATGAGAATACAGTCATGCACATCACAATGACATTTCAAACAATGAAAACCCGCATATATGACAGTGATATACAATATATATTGCCTAGATGTATATATACCATCTAGATTTGGGTAAGTTCACTCTATGATTTTTGCACAACGACAAAATCACCTAATACATTTTTCAGAACATATCCCCATTATTAAGTGGTGCATAACTGTACCTCCCTTAGCCACTTATTGTCAGTGAAGTTCCTGATCGAGTCCTCCTTGCTGGAGCCACCAGACTCGCTTGGTATTGTCAGCAAGACTCTCATTCAATATCAGGGAATAAACAAGACTACCTGAGCCACATCCTGTTCTTAAGTTGAGAGTTAGGGCTTAGGTCACCTTTGCTGTTGGGTGGGGGTTGTAAGAAACCCTGTCACTATTCTGTTCCTCCATTACTGGGGTCCCTAGCTAGTCCACCCTCCTCTTTCCGATTTTCAGAATTCTCCTTCGGTTGCCTCATACATTATTTCCAGAGTTGTACTTAACAGAGGGAAGCAGGGAGGATTAAGTCTGATACATTAGAGCACATAAAACAATGTATAATACATATAGGTAACATGCAATAAATATTACTATTATTGTTATGGAAAGTGATGAGATAGAGTTAAAATGGTATCAGTTCAAAGGAGATATAGATGACTAATCTGAATGGTTAACAGAAACTTTATGGAAGGGCTTAGCATTTGAGCTGAGCATTTGGTAGGATTTCATATATAAAGACTGAGGGAAATGATATTTTACAATAAAACTAAACAAAAATGTACTTGGGAGCTCATTTTTCAAGAAATATGAGTAAAGGTACAAAAGCGATAAAATAGTGTATAGGGAACATAACATTATTGAAGTATAGCCTATATAAAAATAAGAGCAGTGGAAAATAAGGTTAGAGAAGCATGTTGGAACCAAATTTTTGAGAACACTGAATTCCAGACTAAGGAATATGGGCAATGGAGAATTGTGGATTTTGAGCAGGTTAAAGAGAAAGAATTAAGCAAGGAAAGAGAAAAGGAAGTGATGGAAGGCATTGAAATTTTAGCGATAAGAAGGCAATGTTTAAGATCTGACAGAGGTGTGGGAAAAGCATATTCCAGGCAGAGACTAGTGAGTGTGAAAACCCAAAGGCAGAAGCCAAGAGTTTGGCGTGTTTGAGAAATAAAAAGGATGCCACTGTAGCTGGAGCAGAGTAAATAATGGAGGGAGTACTGGAAGGTGAGGTCAGAGAAGTGAGAGCAAAGTAAGGGACCATATCATGTAAGATCTTAGGTCCGCTACAAGAACTTCAGCTTTTATTTCAGGTGAGATAGGAGAGTAGCGAGCAGAGAATGACATCATCTGACTTATGTTACATCAGATAAAACACTCTATTGAAAAGCTGAACTTAAAGTCCTATTTCTCATTGGCTTATATTTGGCAAATCTTTGTTTTTGTATAGAGAGCTAAGAGTAATTGAAGAAGAGGAAGAGGAGAAAGAGGAAGAGGTGGCAGCTGTATTGTCCATCATCTGCACATGTTAAAATATTTACTATCTGGCTCTTAAAAGAAAAAAAAATTGCTAAATCCTGTGTTGTACTATAATTTCAGAGATGCTTCATTATTATTGAAATTCGTATTGTCATATTTTTATTAAGTTATACAAGGTACTACACACATTATTATAATCAACCCTCTGAGGGAACTGATATTATTCCTCATTTATAAATGAGGAAATAGGTTCAGACTGACTTAAGAGGCTTGCCTACTTTTTCATCTAGGAGGGACTAGTTTGTATCAGACCAACTCTTATGCCTAAAACAACTAGTCTACAAAAGCTAAAATAAAATACAAATCACATCCATTTCAAGGCATCAGAGCACAGTCAGGCAGCCAGGGTTTGAAAGAACAAGAGCCCAGATTTAAGAGAAAAGACTGAAATTAATCCAAGATGGTGTGCTGTGCTACTTTTTCCCTCGGGGAATATCCTGTTGATTTATAACTGGCCAGGGCGGAAAGGATGAGAAGCGGAGAAGTTAAGAGGCTAGGAGACCACACTGGAGCTTAGAGTTATCAAGTCAGGGAGAGCTTTAAAGGCCAAGTGAGCTTGAATTCAGGGCAGCTTTACCCATGAAAGGATCTGCCAATTTGTAAACAGTGGCCAAGAGATGGAGAAGCCACGCAAAAAATCTTCAAAAAGATTTCTATTTTGAAAGTAAAACAGAGCTTTTAGGAGTCTTAATGCTGGAAAGGAAAAAAAATGGGTTCCTAAAAAAACACCACTATCCAAACTGTTACAAGAGATAGAAAATCTGAAGAGACTTAAAACTATTAAGGAAACTGAATCCATAATTTAAAATTTGTTCATAAAAAGAGCTCCCAACTCAAATGGCTTCACCAGAGCGTTCTTCCAAACATTAAAGAAAGGAATGACGCCCATCTTACCAAACTTCTCTAAACAGAAAAAAAAAGCTAAATATCCCACCTTATTTTATGAGGCCAGTATAACCTTTATACCAAAAACATTCCAAAGACATTACGAAAAACAGAATTATAGGCTACCACTCTCCGATAATATTTTGTTTATCAAAGAGTTGGCCCATAATTCTTGTTTTTATATTAACAAATAACATCCAGAGATATGTATTTTTAAAAGAAAATATATCTTGATCAAATTTGCTTTATTCTGGGAATGCACAGATGGTTTAACACAGACACAAACATTAAACAATATAATTCACATTAATAAATGGATAAATGGGGAAAAATTCAGGGATCACCTCAATAGATGCAGAAAAGGCATATCATAAAAATTCTACACTGATACATCACTTAAAAAATGCCTTAGTAAACTAGATTAGAATGAAACTTCCTTCACCTGATAAAGTGCATATACAGAAAACAGTGATATTTTCATCAAAAAACATGATAAGCCACAGACTGGGAGAACATATATATATATTTATTTATTTCCCACATCCAAAATTAATAAAGAACGCCGATTGATTGCTAAGTAAAAGGTAGATAATCAGTAGAAAAATGGTCAAAAGACCGGACCAGAGGATATCTGGGTAGTCAGTTAACATATGAAAAGATCATCAACCTCATGAGTTATTGGTGAAATACAAATATTAAAACCACAATGAGATACTTTTCCAGAGCTACTAAAATGATTTAAAGCACAGTACGAAGTACTGGCAAGGATGTGGAGCAGTTAAAACTCATACTGCTGATGGCTGGGCAAAAATTGATACAACTTCTTTAGAAAAATTATCTGGCACTGTCTATTAAAACTAAACATATGTGTGCATATCCTATGACCCAACAATCCACTCTAATATACATACCCAACAAAAGGCATCAAGAATGTTCCAGCAGCACTAACTGCAATAGCCAAAAAACTGAAAATAAAACTAATGTCCAGGTACTGCAAAACGGATGAATAAACTGTAGTATATTCATTTAATGAAGTATGAAATAGAATAAAAATGAATGAATTACTTCTGTGTGCAGTAATAGATGCAATTTTTTAAAAAGATGCAATTTTTAAAAAAGCAAAATAAGAAAAATATATGATTTCATTTACATAAAAATCAAAGACAAGAAAAACTAAGTTGTGATGACAGAAATCAGGAATAAGAAAACACACAGAAGTTGATGACTAGGAGAAAAGGAAAAGGGAGATTTGGGGTACTGAATTCTTCATCTATAATAAGATGGTCACACGTATATATTCATTTTGAGAAAATTCACCAAGTTGTACACTTATCACTTGTGCACTTTTATATATGAATGCCACACTTCTCTTTTCTTTTAAAAGAATTATTAGTAAGAGAAAGAGGGTAGTAGGATTGAGAAGCGGGGTGGGACAGAGGTGTCTGATATCACATACCACCAGTGTGTCTGATAACAAGCCCATGCTCTGAACCATTACTGCTTATTTATCTTTAGATTTTACCAGTAATTTTAGATACTCAAAAAACTGAGGATCTTGATTTCATCTGACTGAAATAATTATATTATTGTCTCACCAAAGCCCAGGGAATATTTTATTCTTAAGGACTGTAGTGGTTATTCCATTTATACATTAAAAGCCAACCATTCAAAGGGATAGTCATTTTTTTCAAAAACTGGTGTTCGGACAACTGGGGGGAAAAAAAACCCCAGTAACTCTAATAAATAGGGGTAACGTTTTTGTAAACAAAAATGAGATTTAATATTTATGAATGTTTATATGTTAGTGTATAAACCATCAGGTTTCAAATCAGCATATTAAACAATTTTTGTAGAACAGAATATACAAACACATTTCAATACAATGAGAAAGTGAAAAAAGATTTGTAAAGATATGCATCAAAAGTTAACATAATTAACATAAGTATTGCTTGATGTTTAGGAGTGATTTCTCTTTTTTCTCCTATACCTCTATTTTCAGTTCTTCTGATATGAACATGTTACTTAAGTGGTTTTTAAAAATCTTCAAAAAGTACATATTATATGATTCTATTGATACGTCGTTCATAAATAAGCAAAACTAATTGCTTGAAGAAAGGAGGAGAGATTATCTTTGGGGATATAAATAATATCAAGAATGGTGCATAAATGAGGCTTCTGGGATGCTGGTAATGTGTTATGTCTTGAGATGAGTTACTAGTTGTTACCTGGGATGTTTAGTTTATGAAAATCCATTGAGCTGTGCACTTTTCTGTACACATACAATTCAATAAGAAGTTTATCAAAACTAAGTACAGTGTTTTTGCTTCTCTCAATAAAATATTTTACCTGTTGCCTTGCTTTTTCTCATACATGGCCTTTAATATATTTTTTTTCTTGTGTGGATCAGTTGCCCACTATCGGGTTGGGGGCGGGGGGAGTTCATCCTTAATATGGAATTATTAGTTTATTCTGAGCCCAAATTGTATTAGCAACATTAAAAATGAACTATATATATTTGGTCTCTCATCATTTTCTTCTTCCCTTACAATTAAATGTTTTGTTCTTTTAATCTACCTAAATGAAAGTTCTGGTTATTTTCAGGTAAAGAAAACCTTATATCATAGCAATCTTATGAATTAACTTTAATTTAAATGTCAAAATGATATCACATAGTTACCTGATAATGAGGTTTATACCATTGCTTTAAGTCCCAATCCCAAAGAATCATCTGAAAAATAAAATAAAAATCACTTCGTTACAAAGCAGAAATAAACGAATATATGTAAAGACAAAAAGCATCTCAATTACAGATACCTAAAATAACTTAAAGTTTGAAGAGAGGAATTGGCAAGGTAGGAATAAAAATGATCTCTAGACGGAATATTTTATTAATTATTCAATCCGATTGAGAAATCAAAAGAAAAGCCAGAATAAAATCACTAAAATAAGTTATATTAACCTTCAAAATATCTATTGCCACAAAAAGAAAAACATAAATCCAAAATCATATCCAGTCAACCAGAAATACCAAAAAAAATTAGAAATCATCAGACACTCTTCTTCCCTCCCCACCCTCTCCAAATGATCATTTATTATTTTAAAGCAGTATCAATGGGTGGTGCTATTTCCTTACCAATAAAGTTCTTTTGTCAAAAGCAGTTTTAAAAGCTTGTTCTTGCAGTTAGATTAAGTAAAAGGAATACAGCAAAACAAGCAACACAGAACCCTTTTGATATGCAGATAATTAGTGAAGATTTTCCTGTTTGTCTCCTTTATACACTGGTAACTTAGTCCCAGACTAGATTTTTCTTGCCCCTTTCTTCCTAGCAGGCTTTGTAAGCCACACAAGGTTTCTGTGGCATAAACTTTGTGTTTTGTTTTTGCTTTACAACCCTTTCAAATGCAACAAACAAACATTCTTAGTTCTAGGGCCATGCAAAAACAAACTGCTGGTAGGATTTGGTCGGTGGGCGGCTATAGCTTGCTGTGCCCTATTTTAGATAATATATCCACATTTAATCACTCAAAAAATTGTCAGTTGTCTTTATTACCACCTCCTTGTCAACATCCTTGCAGAAGGTCATCTCTTGCCAGTGAAGAGAAACCTGTTCTTTCCCAAAGAAATCCAGACATAGTCTAACCACTTACAAAATTCTTAGACAAATACTCACAAAATGTCTATGGTATAATCACATGCAAAGTACATCATATATATCAGTAGACTCGTTAAATTTATGCAGTATTTTAAATGGCCCTAAGTGTCACCCTGATATAATTATTTCTGGTTGTGACTTAATCAACATACTTTCTATATTCTAGTGACATTAATTAATGTAGTTTAAGATTTGATAACTTCCTAAAAACACTTACAATATGATTAATATAACCAAAAATCTCTAAGTTTCTTTTACACAGCAGCTCATTCCTACTTGCAGTCACTTTCTCTAGGGTCAAAAATACATTTACCAAAAAGGAACAGGTTTTGGTCTGAAATCCCCTGCATATGAGGAACTGAAAACGTACAGTGAAAGCCACAAAATGCTGGTAGACTGCCTTCTGCGTAAAAGACAGTTTAAGGTATGGAAATACATTTTTGAAGGAATTAGAGGAAAGCAATTTGTCATAAACTAAGGATGGTTATTTCTGAATAAGAGACAAACGAAGAGGAACTAGGAAAGTTATAGAAGGTTCGTAGAAAAGGAATACTGAGGAAGGACATCGTGTGTGGTTAAGCTGGGTAAGACTGACAAATCTAAGTAAGTGAATTTTTAAAACATCAAAAGTAAACTAGTGCAAAATTAGAGGTTGGTTTTCTCTTTAAAAAGACTATTAGTCTGTTGCCAATATTATGAAAAAAGTTCTATACTCTTTATGATCATGGGAAACTCTATGTCTAACTCAGTCTCCCAGTGTGGCCGCCTGGGATGCGTCTTACAAAACTGGGCCACTTTTAGCTGTGGACCAATGAAGAAAAAGAATGGTTTTCCTTTCTAATGTGGCATGGCCACAATATGCTCCAGAGTCAGGAGAATATTGGCCAGAGGACGCAACCTCAAAATGCCGTACCATCTTGCAATTCGAGTTCTGTGAAAAAGAGGAAATCCCCTATATACAAGCATTTATGCTTTTGTGTCAGAAAGCCCATTCAAATGAAATGTCAAATTATGGTACACCGGGCTGGAAAACTGGGCAAGTTAGTCTTACTCGAATCCCAGGAGAAGAAAGGTGACTTGTTATTACTCCAGCTTGATGCTTCAGCAGCAGCAGCCACTCTGTGCCCCTATAGCAGTAACGCAGCCGCACCCCCTGCCCTACTATCTCCAGCTGGAGACTGGGCTCTGCCAAGACTCAGGAATGGTCTCCCCCTCTCAGTTCCAGCAGGGTACCAAATTTGGTCAGGAGTCAATTCCAATTAAGGCAGATGTCAATTGGAGGAATTGATGCTAACAAACAACTGGCGTGAATGGTTTGGATGTATGCATCCTTGAGAACTTCTGACCTCTTTAACCGGAAAAAGAATACGCCCGCCAACAGGATGATCCTAGAATGATGGAAAGTCTCTTTTCCTCCATTTTTGCCACACATAACCTGACTTGGGCAGATATCCAACATCTATTGAACACCTTGCTTACTGTCGAAGAATGGTGGGTTAGCTTTCTAAGGCAAGGGAAGAAGCTAGTTGCCCGCA